TCAGAGGGGAGCTCACCTACCATCAATGAATGGTCTCGAGATGGAACTCCCTCGTGGTAAAGAGGACAATGATGCAGACGGCAAGAATAAGTAAGCCGGGTAATGTCTTTGCGAAAAGGCACATGAAGAGGTATTTCAGTTGGAAAACCAGTCATCATCAGTATGGTAGTCGTAGTATCGCTTTGGCTATCAGTCAGCCACAGCTATTCATAACCCATTTTCTCGAAAATGAGTTAGAACCTCGGATTTCGCTGGGTGACGTCTCTAGGGGTTATTTGACCCCCTGAACACGAATATGATACCTGTTTTGCGCGAAGAGCGCTGTGAGTTGCGCTACAGGTGCTAACGCTTTGGCGCTGGCGCGCCCGGAAGAAGAAAAGCAATAAAGAAAAACCTCACAACTCCGCTCAGAGAATCGTTCCGCAAATTTTAAAGATAGTCTTGTGTTCATCGTGGCAAGGTGAGTACAATGATGTACATTTCGTTGCAAATGGCCGGGCTGACGTGTTGGCCTTTCCTGGTCAGCTTGTGCAAACACAGCAAAGATTAAATGGTCCGTAACTCCCTTCAGAGAATCGTTCCGCAAAATCGGAGGGCAGATTCGGATTCAGCGGCTCAAGACACGTCCACATATATACATCTCATTGTAAATGGCCGGATCGACCTGTTGGGGTTCCCTTGTCAGGGATCTCGAGTATACAATGGCACAGAAGGAATCGAACATTTGAGGGCCCAGAATTTCGCCTTTCAAAAACTTATCTAAAATGTGTTCGAGCCGAACTGGTCTTCAGAAAAACAGTGACGTTTTTCATGTTGCGCTTTGTATTATGTTTTTGGGCTTACAACAGACTGCGTATGAAAGAAGTGATTCTCGCTCAAAGCATAAAAACACGCGCACGATTTGCCATTAACCCATCTAAAACACATCTGAAATATTTCTAAAACATGGAAAGATTCAGGAGGTAACTGATAGTAAGTAGACGCAACAGTAGAGACACTGCTACAATGAGCCGCCTTCCGTTTCTCAAATGCCCGCACCTGAGAAAAATATCACCCTCAGAACGAGCCTTCAGTTCCTCCCGCACCAACAAGTGTGCTCCAACGCTATTTTTCGCTGGGATCTCAACGCGGCCACAAGCGCTTGCAGATCGTTCCTTATCTAGTCTTGAAGGGAGAGGCATCGTACTGACGCCGCCATTTCACACATCACGGTGCTGTACCCTGTCCAGTGTCTTTTTTTCGGAAATGCATATCCTATGAGAGAGTGAAACTTTTAAAGGGAGGAAAGCATTCCTGTCAAGCACTAGGTTAACTGAGGTTCACTGTTGCCAAGCGCATTGGAACACCTCTTTATAAAGGAAATTTCCCCGCTGTAACAACACTGTTGACTTTTATTCAGCTGCCAGTTAACACGCTTTCAGCAGTGGGTACTTTCTTCGTATGTGACCTCCTGTGAAACCAAATACAATGCCGCAATCTAGAAGACTTCTCCATCCTAGATGGCTCCTTTCTTTTTCTTCAGGTCTGTTGTTCATAGAAATCCTCCTCGTGTTTTCGCGGTGACAACGTTGGGCGACACGAAAAACCCACCCCTCCAACGCTATATAACTCACAAATCGTTTGAAAATTTTGATATGCTTTTAAACAATCTCTCCGTCAAAGCTTATCAGGAAACGGTCCATTCGGCGTTAACTGGTGAACATTATATTTTGCTATATTCCCTTTACAAGCGTGTAAGTGGAATTAGTGTGAGGAGCAACATGCTTGATGAAACATCAGTCACGAATAGCAACCCTGAGACTGGGAGTTTAAGTCAAACAGTATCAAGTACCGTTATCACACTCCACGCTGCCAGCTAATAGCACAAGCTCAAGAAATTGGCA